ACACATGACTGCGTAAAAAAATTCTCGATCATATATACATCAATAACAATACAATAAAATAAATTCACGAAATACATGTGCAAAAGTAAACGCGATTATGTATGCGAAATCGGCCGCCGGGGCCAGCTTTATTGAAACAGAAAAATAAAAATAAAATACAGAAATAAAATCATCTTTTCTTCAATTCTCTGCTTTTTTTCTTATTTAATCTCCCTCTTTCCCATGAAGGACTTCTTTCACTTACCTTTCTAGTTTTTGTTCGTTCTTGCTTTTCTCTCCGTGGAGAAGGCAATGTAGAACTACTTTCACTATTCTCATGCGATTCAGTCTCTTGTGCATGGAATAGTAAGGATAAGTTGACGATCAGAATGTTCTGTTATTCAATTACAAAAAGTAAGTATCAAGGCTTAGAATAGAAAATAGAATGCAAATATTGAATAAATTCATACTCTTAAATTCAACAACAATTCTACAAAATTAAAAACAATTTCACTGTCAACTTTTTGAACTGGTATTTCAGCTGAGCGTAACCGATAAAGACGGTGCACATCATCATCGTCTCTAATTATAATATTCAGATGGATTTGGTTACCAGCTACTTGAACACCGATAATGCCAAATTCACCTTTGTCTGGCTTGCACCCTTTGCGAGACCAGAATAGCCCATCATTCATTTCTCGCCACAATTTTACCTGATCCATTTTTTCTTTTTCTTCGGTGCAAACCAGACGTGAACATTCGGCAAATACCAATTCATGTATCATCTCCTTATAATTAACAATAAACATGATATCCGGCCGTTTTCCTGTTCCTGCCTTCCCTTTTCTATCCGCACTGGCAACGCTTTGCCGTTCTGCGCTGAAATATAAAAAAATATATTCATATATTCTCAAGAAGTTTGTTTACTCTCATAACTTACGTGCTAATAAAGCCGGTCTTTCCGATTGGAAGCCCCCTCAATGTAGCTCGAATAGAAGGAACTATTATATCTGTTACGTAAGTCCCCTCATTTGTGTACTAGCCAGTTCGGGTCCAAAAGCTGGATCCTTCCAAACTTCGTTCCTAAAATCGAAAGGACATTAGACAAATAAAGCATAGCATTTTTATGACTATAGATGAGATTTATAAAGTCTTCAAAACTCACAATACATCGAGAATTCCTGTTGTAACCCTATTAAGGACCTCATCCAGCTCCTTCCAGGATTCGTCATGTGTGAGTTTTGCTAGCAAAATTTCTTCAGAATCATCCGCAAATTTTAATACAAACTCATCACATTTTTCTCGGATGAAATCTGGGGCTGAAACTCGCATATTGTCTTCCGGTTCCTATCATGCATTCAAGTTTAAATAGATGGTAGTAGTATAAGAAAAAATCATGATAAATTATATTTATACCATAAAAGATTCCAACGCATGATCTGGCATTTCTTTGACATACTTGGAGTTCGCATCGACTATTCGACTAGCAAGTGGGTCGTCCCATGAAAGGTCAGAAACTTTAACTCCTTCCAAATTTGACAGTAGATAAATTGCATGCGAACTTTTACTATTCTAATCAGATATAAAATATACTTCAGATTTTATACCACCGTATGAGATGAAAAATTGTCAAACTTACAAAAAGGTCCGTTTTTAATTTCCGTAAGTTGTATTGAATCTCATAGTCACTGAGGGGATTTATCTCCTGTTTTACAATAAAAGTTAGCATATGATAAAAGTTTAACCCGTCCAGTGCAAAAAAATACATACCGATAATTTAATATTGCGAAGAGTATGAACGCCTTCGAAGGCGATGCTAAACTGGATGCATTCAAGTTTTTTATGTTAGATCATAGAGAATATACTAATCATATCTTCACGTTCGAACGTTAATCAGAGTAATATTGGTGAAATTGCTGTCTCGGTACGGCCAATACGAAGGCAGTAATTTCAATAACCATTGCAAAGACAAGTAAGAGCACCTCCATGCGTCTATGGATATAGAATCCAGTTCTTGCAGGCTAAATAGGTACCCTAAACTTCTCTTTGTTTTCAAACATGCATCTTTCATCATGTAGTCAAAATCTAAATTTTATTCTTAAAGCTTAGAAGGCTCACCTGATGAGGAATTCTCTGAAATATTCTGTAACGCGAAGAATTCCTTTTACATTTTTTCATTGCAGATTTAGTCACATCTTCTACTAAGATTTTTAGTTGATTTTCTTCTATTTGCGGATTCTCTTTTACTGCAAGATAAACAAGAGACACTGCGGAGATATGGTTTTCTGGAGAATCAATTAAGAAATTATAAAGGCTGTCAAATAAAGTATTTTCCATTGTCAAATATCTTGGGCGGTTGTGAAAAAATTATAACAAGATGTTCGAAATTATTGTAAAGTGATAAATATCCTTAACTTCGCTATACTGCCCTTTTATATGTTTTTCTTTCATCTCTTCTCTGAAATAGAAGCAGAAACATGTGCTCTTACATCAAAAAATTTCTATTATAAAGAATCTTATAAATGCACGCATCACAAGTTATCGAACCATATAAGGTTAAAACTGCTCAAAAACGTTAAGGGACCGTCACGCATACATTGTGCGCATTTAGGCCAGATAAGGTTTCGGTCCGGAGTTAGGCTCCCCACATATCGATATGTTCTGAATTTATTTTGTGGCATGAGTTAATTGACCGACTTTGGTTAGGGTACTAATTCCTGAAAAATAAAGAAATGGCAATTTCTACTTGTGCCCCGTCTCACAAATAAGTTATGCATAATGGCCTTGCAAGGTGATACGATAACAAAAAATGTTTAAACTACCCATCATTATCGCTTACATATTCAGATTATTATTCGAGAATTATCACACTCACATCGCTTATATATTCCATCCGCTACTTTTTTGCACGTTTTGCAATATAGGTGTGAATGGTAATTGCATTCGTCACAAACCCCTTTTTTCTCACAAGTTCGAAAAAAGATAAATACATACTAATATGTGTTATCTGTCT